CGGGCGCAGACTCCGGACGGTTCCACTCTCCGCGTCCACTGACACGAATGATGCTGCGGCGAGGGTGCCTGGTGGCGGCGGCACTAGCGAGTATCTTACGTGGGCATTCTCTCCCGCATCCGGGTCCGTGGCACTGAGGTGGCCCAGGCTCCTACCCGCGGGCTCGTTTTCGCTAATCACCATGGTGTAAATGGCCTGGGTGAAGGTGGGTGCATTGTCGTTCACATCCAAGAGCCGCACGAACAGGGTCTTGGATGCCGAGAGGGTGGGGGAGCCCTCGTCTCGAGCTCGCACCGTCACGTTGTATTCCTCCACCTGCTCCCGGTCCAGCGTCTCTGATGTCACCAGCGCGTACGCGTCGGCTGCCAGCAGCGTGATCCTGAAGGGCTGCTCTCCTGTCAGCTCGCAGGTCGTCCTGCCATTGTCCCCCGAGTCTGGGTCCCGCACGTTGAAGAGGGCCACCACGGTGTTGGGAGGGGCGGCTTCCGAGAGAGTGCTGGTGAGCGAGGTGATGATCACCTCGGGGGCATTATCATTCACGTCCTTCACCTGCACCTCCACCTTGCAATGCGTGGAGAGGCCCCCTCCATCTGTGGCTTGGACGTCTATCTCGTATGTCTTTTTTTCTTCATAGTCCAAGGTCTTTTTGAGACGAATCTGACCTGTCTCTGGGTTTATTTTAAACGTTTGGAGATTTTCTTCTGAATTTTGAAATATGGAATACACTATTTCCCCATTCGTTCCTGCGTCTAAATCGCTAGCAGACACTACCATCACTATGGTGTCCTGTGAGCTATTTTCCATTACAGAGACTTTATACAGAGTCTGAGTAAATACCGGGATGTTGTCGTTTGTATCCAGGACTATGACGCGGATTAAAGCTGTGCCAGACCGTGGTGGATTCCCACCATCCACAGCCGTGATGATGAAAGCAACTTCTGCCTGCTGCTCCCGGTCCAGGGCTCGATCCAACACCAGCTCGGCGTACCTCCCGCCGTCACTCCGCCGCTGGGTGTACACATGGAAATATTCGTTCGAGCTGATACTATAATGCTGAAGGCTATTGTTCCCCACGTCTGGATCGTGAGCGCTTTCCAACAAAACCCGAGTCCCTGGCATTGCAGATTCCGGGATCTTTAAAACAATTTCTTTATTTAGGAACGCAGGAGCATGATCGTTTATATCGGTGAGTCTTACCTCAGCTCGGAAGGACTGCAGTGGGCTCTCCAGCAGCACCTCAAAACGCACCAAGCAGGGCTCGCTCTGTCCACACATCTCTTCCCGGTCCATCTGCTCTCTCACCACCAAATCCCCGGTGTGCTGGTTCAGCTGTAAATACTGTTTTTCTCCTTCAGGAACGACTCGAGCTTGACGGGCCAATAATTCCTCACTGGTTAGTCCCAAATCCTTAGCGATATTCGCCACAAAAGAGCCTCTCCCCGCCTCCTCGGGCACAGAGTACCGAGCGGTTTCTGCTGTTATCCCCGAGACGCAGAGGACAAGGATCAGAGCCGCCGCTCTCCCCATGAGAGGTTCCTTGCTCTTCCTCGGCTTCATTCCCTTCCAGAGATCCGATCTCCTCTCCTGTAAGCTGGATGGAGCTGCCGACAGAGCCTGCCGACCCCCGAGCGGAGCAGCCCGAGATGGCGCAGCCCCGCCCGCCCGAATCGCGGGGGCGGCGGAGCTGGGAACCGCGCGGAGCTTCCGCGGTCAGCAGCGGCACCAGGCGGCCGATCAGTAGAAGGATTCGAAGATTTCCCAGCTCAAAGCCTGGAAAGCAGAGATTAACGGCTCGTTTTCTCTCTTCCTAGGTCAAAGCATAGAGATTTAAATGTCCATACAACCGTATTCAAAGTATGGCCACTGGCTGAATGAGCAATGCCTTTGTTTGCCTTCTACTTCAAAATGGAGTTTATTTAAAGCCAGGTTGTTCCTCTTGTTTTGGTGCCCCCCTCCCTTCCTCCCAGTGTGAACGCTTTGAATAAATCACTTTCCGGCTATTCAGTTAGAACAGCAGTGTATTGTTACAGGGGTCCAGCCACCAGGTGAGGTGGTCTTTTAACCACGGCTAAAGGTGGTCTTTTAACCAGCTATTGCCAGAATCGTTCTCGGAATGGACAGAGATCGTTCCCGCGGTTCACCACCTCTTCTGCTGGGAGCCTTTGGGAATGGGCTGGAGGCAGCATCTCAGACCTCAGCTCCACTCAGAAAAAAAACTCCTCCATCTTGCTTCGACTTCTGAGACTATGCTATTTCCCAGGTCGTTCTGATTTTCCCTGCATAAATTCCACTCCAGATGCACGGATTTATTCCCGAAATCCTGCTCTTGAGTTGGCTATTTCCTCGGCCATGACTGTGGCAAGGGATCTCGAGCTAGCACACTCACCCGAGGGAGTTCCACGTAGATTTTATTATTTTCTGTCATCACTCAAATGACTCTTTAAAATGGTTCAACGACAGGAATTATCACATTACTTTATAGTTTACTACCGACTGACGAAAGAAAACCAGAAAGTTCTTGACACCCTATATTTAACAGTGTCCTAAGCTAATTGTAAATGGTTTCATCTATTTTACTGAAAAACCACAATCAATACTTTTAATTATCTTGGCTTTTAAAAATGGCTAAATAGTATTTTAAACTTTATGGAAAAAAAAGAAAGGAAGAAAGAATACATTGCTCAAAGCCCACTCTTTACAATTAGAAGAGCCTGTAAGCTCCTGCTCAAATATGCCAGGTGTGCCAATGCCAGTAGTTCAAAATGTAACCAGCTTCTGCTTATTTTGTAAGAAATTACTTTGCAAGCACCACTTAATTTTGCATAATATCTGTTTTGCCTGCTGTTGAATACACGGCAGAAAATGAAGATATTATTACAAAGCTCTCTCCATAAAAAGAAAGAAACAAACAAAGCATGAAAGGAAACCCCCCAGAGAAGGCAGTGTAACAAGAAGTTAAAGATCTGCTGCCAGTTTTCAGTGTTTCTCAAAGCATGTGGAAGCAGTAGCATTCTCACAATCATACAATATTATGTAATCAACATGAAGCACAGTTCTCCTTCTCCATCGACATTACAATTACAAAATACATATGTGAATAAAGTACTGCCTAAGGGGAAAGTACTCTCACAGAGAAGGTTCCATCTCCCTGGTACTTTTTAGAGACGTGTTTGATCTCTTTGTTCCCTTTTCCTTGTGAGGACAGACAAACTTGTCTTTCTTTCCATTTATTGCTGGGTGAGCCAAGGGTTTTGCTCAGAACTGGCATTTAGATCCAGCTCCCTGTTTGCAGGGCAAACTGCATCTGCAGCTCTGGGCCTGGTATCTTCAGAGAGGGGAGCACTGCCCTGCAAAGAACAAAGAGAGCTCTTGTCATTTGGCGCTGAAGGAAAGCAGGCGTCACCGCGAAGCTTAGGGGATATGTCTTACACCACTGCCTGCATCACACCACTCCTCTCTACCGAGAGCCAAAGAGAAGGCAAGACTTGGTGGATCTCTGACCTGAATGGAGAACACCTGAAGCCAGAAACTGTCCTCCAAAAAGGTACTATTGCTAGACCTTAATGAGTCTCTATAAAACGTTTATGAGTTTTGAGTAACTTGAAATGGTGAGAGCTCCAGAAGGAAACCAATTTCTCACAAACAGTAAATGTGGTTTAATGTTGATATACCAAGAAGGGTCCTTGTCTTCCCTGAGGCTGCTGTGGTTCTGATACCCTGCAGTAAAGTGAGACCAGGTCATCGGTGGTTATGAAATATGAAAATATTAACTGACTCGGATGTTGTTTGTGTATCTCCAACCTCATATGTGTTCATCATCCTGTCTACTGTGAAATGCTAGATGGATCCTTAGACACTCTCCATGGAGTCCCCACAGAATCCCATACTAAGAGGTGACTGACTCTGATAACCACACTTTTCTGGCCAACACTATCCATGCAAGTCACAAAAATGCAAGAGAATCTAAGGGCAGAGGTTCCCACCTCCATAGCCTCCAGCAGTTTGTAAAACAGCTTAAATTCAGCACTGCCACCACCCTGGTGAATGGCACATGGCAGCACTGAGTGCCCGCTCCCGACAGCGGCTCAGAGGACATCGTTGGTGACACCCCTTTGCACAGCTGTCCCCGCAGCCCCATCTGATGCTGGACAGGCCACTACACTCCTGTTACTGCCACCTCTGAGAGGACAGATCCCTAGGAATGGTGTCATTCCTCCTCCAGGGCCCTACAGGCTCTACACAGGGCGTGAGCAGAACCCACATGTCTGCAGGTACACGGTTTGTGATAATTGGGCGTGGGGCTATGGCCGAGCCGATCCCTAACAGGCTACAGCCGTGCAGGACAGGTGAGCAGCATTGAAGGTAATGAGATCTGGAGTGCCAGGTGCACTGACCAACCACAGAAAGGTAGAGAGGACACACAGGTGCAATGCATGAACATGAAGGGTATAAAAGGTTGGGCTAAAGAACAAGAAGGGAAGACGTTGGGAGCATTTTGAAGTGGTATAGTGTTAATCTGTACAGGCTGATGCTTGAAGCCTTCTGAAATTGTATGGTAGGTAATACTCTGCATTGTGGCCATCTCAGCTGTGACACATCTCTACCTGTATTTTTCACCTTCTCATGGCCCAACTCCTCCCTTTGAAGTGACACCAAAGACTTAATCTATCACGAATGTTCAGCATAGCTCTGGGTGCAGCTGCCCAGAGAAGTGATGGGTACCCCACCTCTGGAAATATCCAAGTTCAGGTTGGATGGAGCTCTGAGCAACCTGATCTAGTTGAATGTATCTGTGCTCATTGCATGAGGGTTTGGACTTAAAGGCTTTTAAAGTTCCATTCCAACCCAAAATGTTCTATCTTTCTATGATGCAGAGAGGTGTGGTTAGTCAGCATTTTGGGAGCAGCTGAGCCCTGTTGGATGCTCCTGGGAGACCTCTCCAGCAGTTCTGAGATGCCTTCTATCATTTCGTCCCACCCCAGGGACTCCTTCACTAGCAGATCTGCAGCTTCAATAGTCCTTGCTCCCAGGGCTTGTCACGCCTCCCTCCCGCCTGCCCGATTGCCCTGTCAGTCCCTCACCTGTGCAGTCCAGTCGCCCTCGCCCCCGAAGTTGGCCGCATCCTGCGAGCACACCGAGCTCCGCTGCTCGGCCGGGCCGGGGGGCAGCCCGGCGGGGAAGCAGGGGAAGAGCGGCCTGAGGAAACGGAACTCGCTGTTGACGGTCCCGGCGGCGAAGCAGACGTCGTACACGTAGCTGCGGGGCAGGGAGCCCGCGCTGCTCTCCGTGGCTGTCGTGGGGAATGTGGGCAAATTCTCCGTCTCGCTCCGCCTGGCCCGCCGCACCTTCACTACCACGGCGGCCGCCGCGGTGGCGAGGAACAGCGCCGACACGCACACGAGGGAGGCGATGAGGTAAAGAGTAAGCGGCCCGTCGGGCTCGGCGGCCGGGGCCTCCTCGCTCACCCGTAAATGGGCTTCGGAGAATCCATCGACCAGTGTCACGGCGAGGGTGGCAGTGGCAGAGCGCGACGGATGCCCGCGATCCCGCACCAGCACGATGAGCCTCTGCCGGGGCGCGTCCCTCTCTGTCACGGCCCGCGCCGTGCGCACCTCGCCGCTGTGCAGCCCCACGCGGAACAGCGCCGGCTCCGTGGCCTTGGCCAGCTCGTAGGACAGCCACGCGTTCTGCCCCGCGTCCGCGTCCACCGCCACCACCTTGGCTACCAGGTAGCCGGCGGGTGCCCAGCGCGGCACCAGCTCTCCGGCCGCGCTGCTGTCGGGGGCCGGGTGCAGCAGCACGGGCGCGTTGTCGTTCTCGTCCCGCACGGCGATGTGCAGCACGGCCTGGGCGCTGAGCGGCGGGGAGCCGCCGTCGGCTGCGCGCACCGTCACCTCGAAGGCGCGCACCTTCTCGTAGTCCAGCGGGCGGAGGATATAAACATCCCCGTTTTCAGCGTTGACTGACACTTCGGGCTGCTCTCTGCCCTCCTGCCGCACCAGCGCGTAGTTCACGCGGGCATTTATTCCTGCGTCGGCGTCCGTGGCCTTCATGCTGCCGATCCGAATCATGGGGCTGTTGTTCTCCGTGACAGACATGGTGTAAACCTGCTGGGTGAACTCTGGGGGGTTGTCGTTCACATCCGATATCTGCACGAAGATGGTTTCCTGAGAGCTCAGCCTCTTCCTGCCCCAGTCCGTGGCTGTGATGGTAATGTTATACTCCGCCGTCCTCTCCCTGTCCAGAGCCGCGTTTGTTCTCAGTTCGTAGTAATTATCAAAAGTGGGGGTGAGACTGAACGGCAAGTCCCCGTCGATAGAACATTCCGTCCTGCCGTTGTCCCCGGAGTCCCGGTCCCGCACACTGAACAGAGCCACCACGGTGCGTGGCGGGGCGTCCTCGGGAATGGAGGCGCTGAGGGAGGTGAGCGCTATCTCCGGGGCGTTGTCATTCACGTCCAGGACCTCCACCTGCACTTTGCAATGCCCAGATAGCTCTGCGCCGTCCGTGGCTTTCACCACCATCTTGTGGGATTTTGTTTCTTCGAAGTCCAGGTTGCCCGCGACTCGTATTTCACCGGTGGTTGGGTTCAGCTGGAAGAGCTGCCGGGATCGCTCTGATGTCT